GTTTTCTAGCGCAATTGTCTCTTTTCCTTTCTATAATTTACAAAGCTGTTATGACACATAGCTTTGTAACAAAGAGGTAGTCAACCTTTGGGTTATTTCCTGCAGATCAATTTACTATGAGAGCCCACAGATATTTTTAAGACAGGGTACTATCGACAGACTTCTAAATCGCACATGCGAATTCCTTCATGTTAACCGACTTGGTCTTAACACGGTACGCATTCCTACAACCTATTTTCAGATCGCAACATCTAAGTCAATAGCTTACGGAGATGCGTGGATAATTGAAAATACTGGCAAAGCTCTCTCGTTTAAAACTTCAAAAGAGGTATGCATCGCATTTACGCTTGGGGACATATGTATTCTTACCAGGGTGTCGGCTTGCCTTGCTTGTCTATCGATGTTAATGGTTTGTTGCGGCATTTTATCTGTTTATCTGAAGATATAATATGCTACGCGAAATTCATACTCATCATCGAAAAAGATGCAACCTTCCAAACCATCATGCTGAGTGGATTTTATGCCGACTTTCAACCTTGTCTTCTAATTACGGTAATTGGTGTTCGATACACATCCCCTTTCTTCTAGTCAAAGGGATATCCGGATCTAGCGACGCGTTCATTTCTGTGCACACTTTACCAGAAGCATCCTAATTTGCCTATGTTCGCATTGGTTGATGCAGATCCACACGGTAACTTTCGTACCTATTTGCCCTAAAATCTAGGGTTTGGTATATACCTCACTTACAAGTACGGATCTCACGTAAGCTACGGATTTGGAATGAAACTACTAATTTACAGAGTCCAGCCCTTAAGTCAGCTTCTGGTACCGTCTTGGGCATACCCTCGCTTAAATTACTGGGGCTACTGCCATCGGATATACCTATGTATACTTCCGATTTCATTGCCTTTACTTATTACAGGCTCCAGGTTAAGAATCACGACCTTCTTCAGATAACCAGCTCGGATAAACTGATGCTCCAAAGCATAAAAGAGAGAAGATACTACAAAGAGGAAAAGATTTTGCAGTCTGAAGTAAGCAGCATACCTGACGACCAAACTGTTGTCAGATCGAGCGCATGGAAAGTACGCGAAGGAAAGCAGAAATTCAGTGCCTCGATAAACTGAGTCCAAGCTTTCTGTGTTCCGAATATCTCCCACGTAAACTTCACCAAGAGGTTGTTTGAACAAAAGGTTTAATATAATTTAATTTAGGGACAAATGTAGTACTCAATCCCTTCTGTTACATACGAAACTGATCAATGTTTAATAAACCTTGAAGATATCATCTTTGATCATGTGCCCAACAATGGCATTAACTTGTTCCAGTGAAATTTTTGCTGCATCCTTAGCGCATTTAGCCAGTTTATCCTGGAGTCGTCCGTTGTCAGAATTCATCCGATCAACCTAAATGCCAAGGGAGAAGTCAACTTAAAATTATACATAAAATTGCCTTCAAAATTAAGAAATTAAACTTACATTAATTGCGGCGTTCTCGACCTTATCAGCAAGATCTCTCGTTAGGTCGGTCAAGTGATTTGATTGAGCAATAGTGCTGTCAGAATTGAGAGCATTCACCCAATATTTGTTCCACAACATGTTAATGATGTTCTTCTCCAGGGATGATTTAAAGTAACTCACGTCAAGCGAGTAGTAACGCTTACAATGAACTCCAAAGTCCTCAATCTTATCCATGGGTATAGATTGATATTCTAACGGTCCCTCATCTGGCGGTTTATAGCCTTCAGGGTAGGTGCGGAACGCACCCAGGTTAACTAAATGTGGAAACTGAATCGGTTGTTTTAGTTTATAGTAGGCAAAAGGAACCAAATGATGCTGCAACTTAGTCCTCTGATATCGAACTGTGAAGAATTGATATCTAGACTTCGAAACAGCAGTAGTATACACATGTGATCTAAGAACTACAAATGCTCCTCTGTGCCTGCAGATAAAACTGCTTTTAAGGCGTACAGATCAACAGTTCGACCTACCCTTTCCATAGGAAACAGTCCTGGTTGGGTCAATTACAATGGCAACGAAAGGTTCTTGGTAAGTTTGATTAGTGTGCTGAGTGGACACATCAATTCCAGAGAGCCAGCACCCATAACCAGGATGAGAGTGGTACCATCCGAGCACGTTCTCGCGGCGACCCACCTTCGCAACCAACTCGGTGTACAAGGCCATAAATTCATATGCTTCAGACTAACAGTAAATTAATGCCCAGATCATTATCAGTAAGGCAACATTTCCTACGTATTAAGAAAACCTAAGTACGGCATGCACGGAACATAGTTTTAAAATTAAAATAGCGTTACTCGACACTCAATCAGAAGAACATCATAGAGTAATTTTCATATTCAAATAGCCATAAAACAGATTACCTGTGCATTGACTCGAGTCTCCGTCCCCTGTACAGGCAAGGGAAAGGAATCCATAACAATCATGGTCTCATGGGCAACTTTACCGATCAGTATTCCCATTATCTATAGGACAAAAAAAGATTTAACAGCTTCAAAGAGGCAGCTTACTAATTCAGTGTAGCATAGATTTGCGATTTGGTCGTCGTCGATATTTGGTTTAGATCTTCAAGTCATCTTAAAAAAGGAGAAAAATTTGGTTTCTCCGAGCTCGAAAGTATAGTTGCCCTAACCAAGCACAAATTGAATGCTGTCACAGTATTTCCATGTTACATGAATCATCTAATGAAAATTATCTTAGATAATAATTCCTTGATAAGTAAAAGAAAGTAAAAGACAGTAACTGAATTTAGTAGCACAAAAAGCTTCTTATGCTCAAGTTCCTCACCTCGTACACTCCGCCAGAGTGAGCATGAATAAGCATCTTAAGTAGAGCGACGGCGGAAATGTTGACGGATTTAAAATAGTGCGGGTCGTTGGTCCAGGGCTTAGCGTTGACTATGGACTGATGCACTGCAACATTATACTTGAGATACTCGTCTGAAATCTCATTCACCTCGTTGGCGCGTTCCCAGGCTATGCGAGCGACGTCACCAGCAGTCGAAGGAGCCGTAGCGAACGAACTTGGCTCGAATACCGAGGTGATTTGCATCTCCGTATCCATTGCTTCAGTAGCACCTACTGACTTCGACTCCATCTAGGAGGAGAAGACTCTAAAGTCGTGCTTTGTCAATTATACAATCTTCCGATATGGTAGCGACGCTGCTCTTATTCAATTTCGGTGAGTATTAAGGAAACACAATTTCAATGAACGCAGCATGTCCACTAAGTTGCTGTAA